ATCTGTGAGTTAGCCATGCCCTGATTTAGATCAGCCCAGAGGTTGTTTCAGGGTTCGATCTGTGAGTTAGCCATGCCCTGACTTAGATCAGTCCAGAGGTTGTTTCAGGGTTCGATCTGTGAGTTAGCCATGCCCTGACTTAGATCAGCTCAGAGGTTGTTCCATGGTATCAATAAATTTGAAAATTATTTATTTCGGCTTTTCATACTCCTGTTACAGTTTTAACAATTTAAAAAATTWAAAAAAAAATTTTTTTTTCTAAAAAATATTTGGATTTAAAATAAAGTATTTACCTGTAGTCGCGGGGGTGGCAAGGTTGAACCGCATCAGAAAGTCCATCAACAAGACGACGTCAAGCAGATAGGTCAAGGCAAAGACTATTGTCATAGTAACGCTCTCTCCGTAACCAAGGGCGTGAAGACTGACGGAGAATGATGAAACGTATGGATAAAAAAAGCAGACAAGTAGCACGGCAACCAGGTGAACACGTTCCCAGATCATCAGGAACGTGGAGTCTGGCATGATCACGTGATTCAGTGCACGACGAATCAGGCTGATGAAAGAATGAATGAGAATAATGAGTGAGACTGGACCAAAAGAATGCCATTCGCTTTAATAGTTATGCGCAAGCGCAGAAGCACAAAATAATCAGCTTACGTCACAAGGGAATGTTACGTCTTTATATAGTATGCGCGAATGCAGAACTACTTTAGTCTAAAATTGTGTCACAACGCATGCGTAAATGTTACGTCAGGTTTGATAGTTATGCGCAAGTGCAGAGGTGTAAAACAGTCCAATTTGTTCCAAACTTAACGAATCATGCGCAAGCAATGATTCTTGTTTCAAAATTTATGTGCAAGCTTTAGGTAAATAGTATCTAACTATTATCAATGATAACGCTAGAAAATATGCTCAAGCAATGATATAATTTAGCAAACGTACACGCAATCATAGAGTTGTATAATGCTCATATTTTATAGATTCTTTCGTCCAAAAAGCATGCACAAGGAATGGAGTGTGCTTTAAGGCATATAAATTACATACGTCATGATGCTAAATTTCTTCTACCTCACGCGCAAGCGCAGACGCATAAAATACTTACGTCACGATGCTAGATTTCTTCAGCCCTGGTTCATCCCAGGTTGTCTCGTCGTGCTCACTTATCTCCGTGTCCGTCCTGGTTCGAGTCATCAAGTCACAACGATGTTCTACAGCTGTGTAAAGTTTTTCTGCAACTGCGCAATTAAAAAGAATCAAATATTACTGAAAGTACAAGGTGACATGTGACAGTCGCTGATAAACTTGTGAACCTCTCTTTTTCAAAGTCTCTCAATGAGACGGGACAGCCATTTTTTGTGGTCATCCGAGCCAGGTTTAACCCTATCTTTAAAGCAAAGGCAGCACCTTCTACTCAGAATTTTTAAAACTCCGAGTGTTTGGTTGGGCCGAGGCTTGAACTTACAACCTCGCGTACAGTAGTCCTTTGCCCAACTGAGCCAACAAGGGCCCTAGCGTGGTCTCGACTAAAGTGAAAACACTGTACCATTTTCCCGCCAAATCCACAGGAATCCCGCATGAATTGATTACATTTTGATGCCGAGAACAAACTTTTGAGGGTGCACGTGCCCCCCGTTCTCCCTCCCCCCCCCCCCACCCCTCTCCGCTAGTGGAGCAAGCCATGTTGAGACAAGAGAAGAAAGTAAAGAAACAGGCAACGGTAAACAAACCTTCAGGATAATGCTTGATAACCCGGTTCATGTCCGCACGATCCAGTGTGAATATCACGCAGAGGCTAGCAGCACGAACAGTGGTAGATCGAGGTAGATTATACACCAAACTGACCTATACACCATACCAAATACCATCAGTATTTCACCTATGAAAATTCCCTCCCTATCTTTTTAATCATTGAAGTGTTCTCCGACATAGCAGAGAGCAACCATTTCCATTGGTTCAGCAGATTTCGTATGGATTTGAAAAAGTATTATAGCGGTGCCAAGCCATGACCGTCACGATGTAGTGTCCAATTTTCACGTGCCTCGTCACTGGCTTATTAGTTCTCCGCATAACTGCACCGTGTCCTGCCGTGATCGTGGTGATCTCCTTGATAGCTTTGTCATTGGCTCAATAAACATTGTTTACTGTACTGTGACCATGCCGGGTGTCTTAAAAAAACTCTCCACTAAAAAGGCGTTATAATTATTTAATTAATATTAAGCATTTATATATTTTTTATACAAGGCATTATCGACTTACTTCGCCAAACAGCTTGCCCTCTGTGAGGGTGAGGAGAACACTGTCATTATTCTCATTGAGGATCTAGAAGAAAAGACAAAAAGCTAAATGAAGGAGCGACGGGGTGAGCGCACGCATTTTGGCGCGTAAATTTCCGCCAACACCACAGGTAGCCCAACAAAATAGAAAAAAAGGAAAAATTAAGACTTTTAGTCAACCCCCCCCCCCCCCCCCCCCCCCCCCCCCCGTCCCTTCATTAGCCCCTGGAACAATACACAATGTTCGTTCAATGAACGTATAGCAATACCTCTGCTTTGCCCTTGTGGATGTAATACATATGGTGGCCAATCTCCCCTTTCTTCGCTATGACTTGGTTTGGCATGAAAAACATTGGCTTGATGACTAAAGATAGCATACGCTTGAAGCCTGGGCTCAATCCCATGAAGAGAGGAGCCTGGAAATATAATAATTAATTAATAAATTATCAATAATGTAAGGATTATTACTTTAATAATTAATAATAATTAAAATATCAATAACGTAAGAATTATTACTTTAATAATTAATAATAATTAAAATATTAATAATGTAAGAATTATTACTTTAATAATTAATAATAATTAAAATATTAATGATGTAAGAATTATTACTTTAATAATTAATAATAATTAAAATATTAATAATGTAAGAATTATTACTATTAATAATCTATGCATGCACTGGAAGTATCTAAGGGGTAACGCATTGGTCTGGCTGTTTCATTTAACTTTTTTTCCCCTGATCACTCAGCCAAGAACTAGTAATAGCTCATCAAGGGAGTGACAATAACAATGCTGGCTCTAAATTTGGAAACAAGATTCATTACCTTGTCAAGAACTTTACGGTTGATGCTTAAGGACAGTTCTGCTTGGAATGTGAGTGGTAAATCATCAAAGATTCCAAGACCGTTGACTCCCTTGCTTGTGGACCACTGTGACATAAGAAATAATAATGATATTTAGTTCTYATTAACCTCTGGAAGTTTTGAGAACCAAGGGTGATAAATTAATAGTGCACTTGTCTCACCTCTGGGCTCTTCAGTATTAGTTTCTTAGATTCAGTGTCATTGAAGAGTTTGTTAGGTCTCTCCCTTTATTTAAGGGTTTTTTCCTCTGGGATCCTCCCTCTGCAAAACCTAACAAGCTTAATTCCAAATCTACCTTAATGGGTTAGCCATGCCAAAAGTTTGATCAGCCTAGAGGTTAATATTTCAGATTTTCATAAAATTTCATAAGATTTAAGAATTCATGCTTCAATAGCCCTAATCCACTGTTTTCCCATTTCAGACCATGTGTCATTCCCTAGAGTATCTTTTCTTTGATTAATGCTTGAACATGAGAAGACACATGAATATATGGATACAACTTAAACATAGAATCTTATTTCCAAGAGAATGACACATGGTCTGAAATGGGCAAAACATAAATGGATTCAGTCCATTTGATGGGGTTCAGTTGAGAATTGAACCGGCCCAATCCCAGACATGACCTAGCCACAGCATTAAGAGGCAGCACTATTCTTTGATTGCATGTTACATCATCACGGCCATGTTGGGGCCATTTAACAAAAGATTTCTCATTAGCATTCATTGTTAACTGCACCACAATTTCCGCCTTGTTTTTGTCTTTTGACTCTCTTGGGAATGCTTGCAAACCGTCAATAGCAATGCATATTAGCTATTCTACCTCTTAACCTTACTTACCAAGTATTCATAGTAAGCCATGACCTTGTCTTGGATGGTATCGTCTATACCAACATCTACCTGTTGAACAATGAGACCGTTTCAACAATGAAGTGATAACGGTGATAAGCTAAGTGATGATTAAAGGGGCACTTGATGAAAATTGGAAATAACTTGAAACTTGTTTAAACTTGGTCCCAATTGTAGCCAAACAACATATTTTCTTCACCGTAAAAAGTGGCAGATAATAATTATCAACATTATCCAGCATCTAAATTGTGAGTGAATGACGATATTTACTCAACCCTATTGTTCTCTTAGCTCTTAACCCAAACTTTCTCAACTGCAAGTGGCTCCCAGGCTAAAATTTTCACTGATCTGGTGTTCATGATCATAATTGAGTAATTATCCTCAATTATGTCAATTATTTGGACTTTCAAAAATTAGGGCGTTTTCATCCAAGTGCCCCTTTAATAGATGAAGGAAGAAGGGAGAGATGAAAGGAAGGAAAAGGAAAGGAGGGATGAAGGTAAAGTTAGATAAATTAATAAATTTTAAATTTAAATAAAGCTGGTAGATTTTGTAATAGCAGTGAACTACCCTAGGGAACTACCCTATTCAAATGACAGTATTCAATGCAATAAATAATGAAATTGAAGAGGGAAGGAAGGAAGTAGGGAAGGATGAAAGGAGAAAAGAAGGAAAAAAATATGAGTATGCTACCAGCTCACCAGGTAGTCTTTGATAACATTTAGATGGTGAGAATAGCGAGCTCTCCTGGAGTCGGAGTTGGTCAACATTGATGCCATACCACCAAGAATTAGTCCAAAGAACAAAGCAATCCCAACCAACATAGCAACTATGGAAAACCACTTCTCAGTATTGTTAACAGCATGAATATCACCATATCTAGGAAGAAAAGTTTGGTCATATCAGCTTTATATAATATAGATATAAAATTCTTTATCATTAGTTTATAGCTGCAAGGAACTAATAAAAAAAATCAAAGTCCCTGATAGGAATCGAAACCCATGACCCTGGATACCGGTCAGATGCTCAAACCAATGAGCACAGAGGGTTCATTTACTGAGTAATTAACTACATATTAGCTTAGTTTGCACTGAAATAATGTCCTCGGATTCACAAAGGGGATGTATTCCCCTACACCCAACTACATCTACAATTGTAGTGTGTTCCAACACCCCAGGGGTTTGAAATTGGAAACCCAAAATGATATTGAAATTATTGAATAAAATGGAAGTACAAGTATCTAACCCTGTTGATGTAGCAGTTGCTGTGGCCCAGTAGAGGCTTAACACATACTTGTTCCAAAGAGGGATCTTATCTATTCCTGTAACAAACATACCATTATAGCTTCGTTTATCCATTAAAGAAAAAAAAAATCAAATGAATGAATAAAATAAATAAATAAATGGGCTGATGGATAGACTGGGAAATATGGCAAGATGGGAAAGTGGATATATAGATTGACAAGAAGATGCATGGATGAATTAAAAATGGGGGTGGAGGAGGGGGGAGGAGGGGAGAGGGTGGAGGGGGATGGAGGAAGGGTTAAATAGAAAGATGATGAATGATGGGTGGAGGGGTGGGTGGAGGGATCGTTCACTATATTCATTATTATCACTGACTTTTTTTTATCATCATCATCATCATCATCGACATCATAATCTTCCTTACCTGTGTTTAGCACCATTGCCCAGCCATCAGCTAAGCAGGTGTGATTAGGCAAGCCAACATTGTCGCATCCAAGCCAAAACCAAATACACGAGAACAGATGTATCAAGATGGTACCCATAGCACAGAACTTAATGGCACGCAGCACAGCAGTGTTGCTTCCAAGCTCATTTTCACGGACGTCTATACAAAAGCAAGATTCATTTATTAGTGAGAAAAATGAATAATTCATAATACTTATTGATAAGTGCATCATTATTATTTCCATTCGCTATGGGCCCTAACTATTCAGCCAATCATTGATACAGCCATCCCCAGACATACTCCCATCCTTTCACTCAGCAGTCCTCCTAAATTCTTCCATCCATCCTTCATTCTACCCCTCCATCCCTCCCTCTTTTCGTATGTTCCTCGTTTCCCCCCACCCAACCTTATTCCATCCATTTGCCTATCCCTCCCTCAGTTCTTCCATCCCTCCATACATTCATCCCTCTGTCCATCCAACCCTTTTCATTTAATCATCTACCCACCTATGTTTCCCTTCATCCACTATTCACTAACCCCATTCCCCCTTCCACCCAATCTTTCATCGAGAAACCTATTCATCCCTCCTTTGTTCCATCCACCCACCATACACTTATCTCTTCCTCTTTCCCTCCATACACCTACCCATCTCTCCCTCCGTTTATTCAATGACCCCCATTCCCCCTCCTTCCTATATCAACCCACCCATCCTTCCCTTTATCTATTCACCCAACCCATTTCCCTTCCCTCCTATATCCCCCCATCTATCCTTCCTTGCATATATTCACACCCCATTCTCCTCCCTCCTACCTTGTCCCATCCTTTCCTTCTCTCCCACCAGCCACCCAAACCCTCTATCCATCCCTCTATCCGCCCACCCATTCCTCTTTCCATACAATCACCCACCCATGTATCCAGTCATACTTCCCTCCTTCCATCCATTCATTCTTCTTTCCATCTACATCTCCACCTATTCCTCTCTCCTTCCATCCAATCACTCATCTCATGCATCCCTTCATCAATCCACTTATCCCTCACTCCCTCCTTATTTTAATATACCAATCGTCCATTCATCCTTCCTTCCATACAATCACTCATCTCTCCCATTGCATCTCTTCTYCTCCATCCATCCATCCATCCATCCATCCATCCATCCATCCATCCATCAATTCACCTACCCATCCCTCCTTCCATCCAATTTCTCATCTCTCCCATCCTGTCTTGTCACCTCTCCTCCGCCCATCCATCCCATCCTCCCTTCACCTACCTATCCCTCCTTCTATACAATATTGCTCATCTCTCCCATTTCTCCCTTTGTCCATCCCTCCCTTTTTTCACTTACCCATCCCTCCTTCCATCCAATCATTCTTCTCTCCCGTCCTTCCTCTATCCATCCCCTCATCTACCAAACCAACTGTCCACTCATTTCTCCATCCCTTTATCTAAATTTATCCAAATTTATTTTCCTCCATCCATCCCTCCCAACCTTTCCTTCCTCCATTCACCCATCTATCTATCAATCCATTCACCCATCCCTCCCTCCATGCTTCCTTCCAATCCTTAACTCTACCATCCTCTATATTTTGAATCATTAAAAACTTACCGAAAAACTTCATCATCCTTTGAAACCTAAGCAAGCGATTCAGTCTTAGATAACTCAAGACTTGGTACCACACATGATGAGAAGAGCGCGCGAATACGAAGATATCCAACGGTAGAATCGACAGAAGATCCAACGCGAACCTTCCTCTCAGGTACTGACTTCGTACAAGAGCCCTGTCTGTGATAAGCGAAGCTTTGTGGTAAAATGCGACGAAAAAACGAAGCACAACATCAACCAAGAACAGGACATCAACCAAGTACGCCACAATCCAAAGCGCGGTCGATTTGGAATGAAAACTTGCTTGGAATGGTACAAGCAGGCAGGTAAGATAGCACAGTAAAGCCGTCAAGGATTCCCATGTTCGATACTCCTTCGACCGAGGATGGATAACAAACTCCTGTACGTCGGCAGACGTTCGGCTGTCAGCTATAGCAACTCCCCGAAACGTCACTTGAACTGAATTATCCATCCCCACGAGTACTTCGCAAACTCGGGGGACGGGAGAGCTGTGGTCTTAGCTCAAGCACAAATAAAATCAAACTCAATGAACAACAAAAAATAACGGAACGAAATAAAAAAGCTGCATCTTGCGGGAAAGCAAGAGCGCAATTGAATACAATTAATGAAAATTAACCTATGACGTCACATCATGACTAATCAAAATTATGCTAATTAGTAATTAGAAAGAGCGCGCGCACAGACTAATGGTATAGCTGAAATAATTGAAAATGGCATAGTACAATAAATATGTACATTTTTAAATAAATACACTACCTATTTCTCGTCGTAAATTTGAACGAACGTGAATCCCAACAACCTAGCATTAGCAGGTGACAATAGCTGAAAAAAACAACCCTGAAACAACTTCTGGGCTGATCTAAGTCAGGGCACGGCTAACTTCATAAAAGTCTATACGCTGCGCAGGCTACGTTTGCCGGAAAACCATCAAGTGTTCAGCCATGCGGGTTTTTCCCCAGCCGTCTCCTCACCTGAAGCATGAACTCGACCAAAAGACTTTCATTACGTTGGCATAAAAATTTGAAATATTTGTCTTATCGAAAAAAATTATTGGCACAAATTTTCAAATTGTAATTTCAAATTCTCGTAGGGATTGTTTTTAGCAAACAAATATTTTGAATTCTTTTTTTTTTCCGGCTAGAGTTATAAACTTAAAAATTCACGTTTTTTCGGWTTACAGAAAAAGTTTACAAAATGTTGCAGTTGCAGTTATAATACTCTTGCTAAGAGACGCTTGACATCTAATCAGACATTTTTGTCACCCTAGCCTCTTTTGCAACCGTTCTTAGGGTCGAAACGTTGCGTGACGACCCTAAGAACGGCTGCAAAGGAGGCTATTGTCACCCAAGCTTGATAAAGATTTGTATATCATTTTTCCTCCTCACCCTTRCCCTCTTTGTTTCGGCTTGGTCATAGTCTCCCGCCTTCTTGTGACAGTTCTTTCCAAGTCTAGACTGTAACAACGACACCGCTAGAAGAAGTAGGCGCCAGGTAATCGAAATATATAGACTAGTTTCACTAGAACAAGCTTTCTTTGAGGCTTCCTATCTGTTCTAAGGTTAACCTAACTCAGTTACCCAAAAAATTACCAGCCGATACAATATATTTATCTACATATTCGAATTTATAGTTACATATTCTTGATTTGCAAGGGATGTCCGCCATGTTGGAAGATATAACAAAAGAATTCATTGAARAATCTTTTGCCAAATTGTTCTAACATGGCGGCTATGACGTCTATTGCAAACGAAGAATATGTTGTTACATAGGCAAACTATTTTTCCTTGTCTAATTTCGCAACATTGAAAAAAAAAAAACGCAGTGTCTGCACTGCCCGGCAGTCCAAACTTTCACCAAAAAACGATAACTGGCTACAGCTAATCATAATAATGTTTATTACGGTATATTAAGCGCTTCTTGTAGTCTGGACTTATGTATTTTCGCCAACACTGCCGGTCGCCATTTTCGCAAAAATACGATAAATTACCTACGTTAATGAAGCCAAACTAGTCTAAATTTTACGATGGCCATCGTAAAATTTGTCGAAGACTATTAAGCGCTTCTTGTAGTCTACACTACTTCTAATAAGGATTGTTTTTATTTGCTCGGCATAGAAGACTTAGCACTTGGTTCATGTTACTTAGAAAATTCTGCGGGCATTTAGACACTGCGAAAAAAAAAGGATTTAGCTACGAACACCAGTGTCAGTAAAAATAATGGAATCTTTTCTTTTGTATAAAACTCAGCATGTGCTTATGTGCTTGCAGGATTTTTGCTTTCTTTGTCTATAAGAAGCAGCGATTTTAGTGCAGTCTGCAATAGATCATGTAACATAATACTTCGCTCCTATTCCTCGTTTCGCCAGGTCCTTTGTAGATTTGCCCCAAGTCGACCTCTCTAGTTTTCCCGGTGTTTTTTAATGCGAGCGAAGCGAGAATCTTGCGAGCGCTGACACGGTTGTTTTTCGTGTAATTTAGTCATTTCCATCAGGGAAATATTTCCATAAAGCAAGTCAACCGAAAACCTTCAAAGCTGAGACCAAATGAGGAATACTCAAAACATTTCATATCGAACAAGTAATCTTTTGATTAAAATTGCAGCTTTTAAAATCTACCAACAAATATCACGCGATTAATGGATTATCACGCGTTTTTAGCATAATTTACTGAAGTGTCTAGCGTGACACACCTCATTAGCATGTCGTCTGGACCTTTGTAAAGGAGTAAGGAGACACTGTATACAGTTAAGTTTGCCTTATTCTCTTATACTCTATAGCATTAAGATGTTCGTTGTTCTGATAGTACCCTAGGATTCATATTGTAAACGTGTAAGGAACAAAACAGCACCTGAACCTTTAGTCACTTATGCATGTAACTTTAGTAAACGTCTGGTTGGATTTGAATGTAATTAATATATGATCCATTCCGAGGTTGGGGGGGGGGGG